TAGGAATCCATACAATATAAATTATATATATTTGTGTTAAAAAACAATGAAGTAATACCTGCTTTCATTTCATTCACCTATACATATTATATTTGCAGCTTTTCGTTCACAGATTTCCATTTTTCTTCTACATCAAACAATAGTTTGTATGGCACCTATATGATATAGTCGTCCGATTTTCATGAAATTTGACACAAAATTTAAGACTAATATAAAATGGCTACACCTCAAATTTGATGAAAATCTGTTGAAAACTGAAAAAGTTATAATTTTTAATTGTATTAATTTCTCTATCGTTCCTATGGGAGCTATATGATATAGTAGTCCGATTTTCATAAAATTTTATACAAAATTGTAGAGTATAATAAAATGGCTATATCTCAAATTTGATCCAATTCTATTGAAAACTGAAAATGTTAAAATTTTTTTTGTAAAAATTTTCCGATCATTCCTATGGCAGCTATATGATATAGTCGTCCGATCCGGCCCGTTCCGACATATATACGAGTGAGAGTATATAGAAGGCTAACTACAAAGTTTCATTCAGATAGCTTCAAAACTGAGAGACTAGTTTGCGTAGAAACGGACAGACGGACAGACGGACAGACGGACAGACGGACAGACGGACAGAAGGACAGACGGACAGACGGACAGACGGACAGACGGACAGACGGACATGGCTAGATCGACTCGGCTGTTGATCCTGATCAAAAATATATCAACTTTATATGGTCGGAGGTGCCTCCTTCACTGCGTTGCAAACTTCTGACTGAAATTATAATACCCTGCAAGGGTATAAAAATAAGTTTAAGCTATAGAAAAAGATTGCAACTTAATTTTTAAACTTCAGTTGATGATCAAACAATATTATAAATCATTTAGTTACAAAAGAAATGGAAAATATAATTTCTTTTAATTTGTTTCTCTTGTGAATCAGGAACATAAACAGTGAACAGGGAATAAGCGAGAAAGTCTCATCTCTAGAAAAATCAACGGAACCAAGTTAAACCGAAGGTGTGTCAGCGGGGATGGGGAAGGGAACGCAAGGCTGAGGAGCGGTAAGGAGCAACAACTAAAGCGGCAACTCCAACAACAACTACAGTAACAAGAGCAGCAAGAACAACTAACAGTGGCAAGTAAGAAGCGCGTTGAGGTCGCGCGCCAGGTAAAATGTACTTTATTCCTTTTACGGGGCCACTGTTCAAATTTGCATATGCTTTAAATATTTAATGTAATTCAAAAAGAGGAGACAAGTATCATGCCAAAGCAACAACAACAACAATAATCTGGCAATCGGACAAAGCCCGGCTCCGCTTGGCATAATCCAATTGGACGTTCACACACCTGGAGCAAAGCAGAGAGCCGCTCACTCGCCTTCTCTTATTATTCTCTCTATTTTTTCCTCCATCCAGCTGGATTCACAAAAAAAAACATGGGAATATATTCGCGCATTTGGCAAAAAATCAATTTTCCGTGTGATTGCCAAATGCAATTCCCGGGATAATGAGGAAAAGCAAAGAGCAAAGAGTTCCCTGTTGGAGCAACACCTTTCACGCTTTTCTTTTTGCGGTCTCCGGCCTTTCTACAGTTCCTTTTATCCGCTAATTATTGACATAACAAATGTGGAGCAACACACACACACACACACACACACATAAACACACCGCGCACACAACACCCGAATATTCTGATGACAGCACACGCGAATTGAGAGAAACGAAGAACACCGAAAAATTACTATGCGGCCTTTTTCTTTAATTCTGGGAAACTAACTTGTTAAAAAAGCGTAATTTCTTCAGCCTTACTTGTACCGATTCAGGAAAGTCCACGAGGAATAGTTAAATTCCATCAACAGGCCATTTTTAAGCGAACAAAGCGGTTTTAAAGTTAAAGTTTTTCTTTTCTGCGAACGCCGATCTTTACAGGTGGGGGATCTCACGATACTATCGATAAATAAAAGAGCTAGAGATGTAACTTTCACGGTTTCAGCTTCGATAGGGCCGCGATAGTGGGCAGCCCTAAACATTTCGAATAAATCATGAGTTTAGATTTCAATCAAAAAATTTGTTAAATGCATTTGCTAAGAATATTTTCTGTTCAATATTAATTAATAATAATTTGCTGTAACTATTTTGTCTGTAATAGGTGTGTAAGGGTAATATGAGCATACAGTTATGTGCAGAACTTTAAGTATTTCTATTTTTAATGTTTTCAAAATATTATTAAAAGCTAAAATTATGTCAAAATAGAAATCTACAGCTCACAAGATGATTTAAATAAAAAAAAATCTAAAAAACTAATAACTATGTCCAGAACTAATGGCTTCCTAATTTCAATCGAATATCGATTATTTTTGGCGGCGATAGGCGTGCAAGGTTTGGCGGTCAAAACAAAAGCTCTCGAATATGTGCAAAATATTCAAGTATTTTTGGGATTTTCGAGTATTTACATGGATTCAGCTGCAATTTTTGCGTGATTTGTGATTTAAAACAGAACGGGGGAAGCGGTGCTTACTTTTGCTTGGTGATTATTTATTGATTTGTGGATTATATGCGTCTAATTGCAATTGCAGATGCTTGCTGGCTTTGTGCTGGAAATCGGGGAATTCACAGCGTGGGCGGGCGCGTTGTATGCTGATGTTGCTGGAGCTCCTGGTACTGCTGCTGCTGGCCGGGAACGTGGCCAGCGTCGGAATCGTTGGATACGGTAACGGGGCCGGAGTCGGCGGGATCTCTGGGCATTTTGCTGGCCGTTCCACAGTCTCCACTGGCAATGATGACAACAACAAAAACAAGGACTTGCGGACTGCCGACTGTCGACTCTAAATATAACGTTTCGTCGTTACACTCTCGTTACTCGTTTTCTTTCTTTTTATGTGGCCAATTCACAGAATGTACATTTTTTACACCTTTCTTACACACACACCCACGCACTTTGACGCTCACACTCGCACATTTTCGGCCCCGATTTTCGCACAGCGAAAGCGTTAGCGTTTTGCCAGCTCCCCCTTTTTGGTTTTTCGCTCAACAGGATTCACAAGCGACTTGGGGGTTTTTCATCTGTCTGCTTTTTTCAGCTGCACGTTACCAAATGGGTGACTCCCATTTGGAGCCACATGGGCAAGGATTTTGCATGGAGCATTCTTCGCGAAGGTCCTCCTCGCGGGCGGGGGATGAGGAGGTTACTCCTGGTCTTATGTCGCCTGGTGTGTGTCGTCTCTGCCTTGATTTTCTCGCTTATATATTTTTTTTTCTCAATAAAACTTCATGGCCCTATTACATATGTACTCCGCACACACACACACTCTCGCCTTCGCACACTCGCGCGCACACACACCCCGAGCACACCGATTGCGATTGCGATTCGATCCGAGGATAATACTATATAGCGCCACGATTCCTGCTGCTGCTGGGTGTGCGTGTGCCTGCTCCGTTTCAATATATAGCTATTCCTTTTCCGAATTTGTTCCCCAGTTTTCGCTTAGCCTGGTTGGTGGCTTCTGCCTCTGCTCTCTAACTTTTTTCAGCAACTTTCTACTTTCTAGATATTTTCTCTGCATGCCTTCTCTCTGCGACGAGCGCCCAGCGATGTGCCACCGAACGAGAGCCTGAACTGAAACTGATTCGGGGATAGCACATATTTTGTTGAATGAGTAGGTGAATGAGTGCTGCTGCCCCACTCGCTGATGCTCCAAGACGGACCTTGTTTCCGGCGCCTGCGCCTGGATCCGGCGAGTAACTTCCTTCAGGAGGGGGTCGCTCGACAATTGTGAATGTTCCTTTTTGGGGCTGCCATCTCCGATTACATGCAGCCAGGTGGCGTCTTTGTTCGATATCGATTGTAACGGTTTTCTTTTTTTTTTATTTAAATTATATTATAATTGAAATAGAGAAATAAAAATTCAACCAATCTACTTTAGAGGTTTTTAATGCATTAAAAAATTGTTAACTTGCATTGCACGGGCACTTATCTATTTTAAAATTAAAAGAAACGAATGAATATAAATATATAATATAAATTATACATTTATATAAAGTTCTTATCTGTTTTAAAATTTTATTAACCCACAAAATGTAAAAATTCGTATGTCTTAGATATCTTGAAAAAATATAAAATTCACAGCTTTCTTCAACATTTTTTAAAAGCCATATGAAAAGCTCTATTTTAAAAATAAAATGTACATAATCTGTGTAGGATTAAATTGAAAAATACCCTCCCACTCTTCTCTTGGCACACTCGAATAATTGCAATCCCACAATTCTCATCGCCAACCCCTAAATGTCACAGTCATTAGGCCACCTTCTGGACGCCTCCGGAATCCCGCCCAGACTTTTGCAGTTTACCATCTCGTCGTCGACCCGATAGTGAGAATGTAAGTAAGCAAACCAATTGGGTGTGACCAGCAGGTGGCCCATGGCTCGTCCAACTAACTAACTAACTAACTAACCATATGCATGTTGTCTTTCGTTGGGGGAGGCCAAAAGGTCTGTCCCTCCTTGAATTCCTCCACCCACAATCCTCCAGCTAGGGTATGCAAAGCGAGTGGGGCTTTTTATCCTGAGGCACGCGGCACAAGCCGCCGCACCCAGTTTCTTGGATTCGAGTTGAGTTTGTTGTCATTTTCACATTCATATCCACAATGGACGAAGGGACTGTCCAGGGACGGATTTGGAAGGAATTAACATTAATCGAAATATTAAAAAAAAATAAGTAAAGATATTATAATATATAGGAGCTTGAATTAATATAATCTGCCCTTAAAATATTATAACACAATAACTACATATATGCATCTCATGTTGAGAATCGGAACTTGGTAGCTCTATAAAAACTTTTACTGAAATGTACAATATTTTCGGTATGAAATTTATACTTTGCTCGCAATAAACATTCATAGTTAATTTCTGAATCTCAAAAGTAATATACATATATATAAATAAATTAGGTTCATTTCCTTTTTAAGTAAAATCCCCCACTGTTGCTACTAAAATATCTATCATTACATTTTCGCGTTCCAGCTTTCATTTGTTCGGGGCAAAGGGCGAGGGCTTCTTTGTTTGTTATTTTACAAGTTTGCCATTTGGAACGCCACATGGCTGGGCTACACCCCATATATCCAGGGAGTGTGTGGGGCCACGCCTCCGCCGCCTCTCCTACCAACATATTTGGTGAGCCAGGACAGTGCCTAGGCGCTCCTGACCCACAGTCAGGCAGGCAGGACAGCAGTTGTAACTGGATTGGCAAGGCAGCCGGACGTGTGACTCGGGAGCTAACTCCACCATAAATCAGGCGGAACCATGGATGACGATACGGATATCTTTGACATTGACCCGCGTGAAGTGTGGCTGGAAAAGGATGCCATTGGGGGATTCCGAGTGTGGCACATCATAGCCGCTGTTATCGGCATTCTCATGCTAATAAGTGGGTAGAAAATGTGGCATTAATAGAGATCAATCATTAATGTATAATACTTACACCTAGTGATAATGGTGTGCTGCTGCATACGCTTCCGTATACCGCGAACCAAGCAGGAAATCGAGGCGGACTACCAGCGCAAACAGATAACCAAAAAGTTTCGCGAGAAGCTGCAACAGATCAAGAACTCGGAAATGGATGATATGGATCTGCAGAAGGGTAAGACAGAGAAGTTGCTCACATCCTAGACCATAGAACATATCCACGCATACACACCGCCTGGAAGTTTCTTGTGTACCGACACTGTCCCAGTTTTCGTTGTCACCCTAATGCGAGCCAAGCCCTTTTCCTGTCTGGTGCTCCTCTTTTGCTCCTGTCCCTCCCACACGCATTTGTATATACAAGAAAAAAAAATGATAAACGACTCCTCCAGCTGGCTCCTCTTGTTGCACGCTAGTTAATGCCACACTGAGCAAAAACAAATGATTATTAAATTCTATATATAAGATCTACATTTTCAAAAGAAATAATATAAATAAAAAATAATGATAAGGCTTCAGTTCGTTACCGGTCATATTATGTCTTAAATCATTAATTCTTTTCTGTTGAAAAAAACATGTGAAAAATTCTAAAAATTACTTAAGTAGATGCGACATTTCAGGAATTATTTAAACTAGAAGATGACTTTATATTTGATTTAAAATTAATGAGACACACCCCAAGACATTCTTAGCTTAGTTAAAAAAAGGAGTTTTTCTCAGTGCTTAGAGTATTACTCACTCTCTATCTCTATCCTATCACAGCACTTGCTTATATCAAACTGGAACAGTACGATGATCCCTAAGGGCTTTGTAAATTCACCACGCACCCTGTACAAACTATTGGAAAGAACACTGCCCATAAGTAAGTAGCACAAAATTCACATATATCCCAGTTCATTATTTCTTAAGTCATTATTAAGTAGTCATATTATCATATCTTCCACTTTCAGTTTGTTCCCGCATTCAGAACGATTATCTGAACTTACAGGCCAGCATGGAGAGCATGAATGAGAAGCAGAATGTTAAGTTTAAGATCTAAAAGTGCCTCCCACTCCTTGGGGAAGCAGTGTGTGTGTTATACGTAACTGTTATAGTATTGTGCATCCGGCGGAGATAGTAGTCTTAAGAAAATGTTAGTAACCTAAGATTGCGGCAAATGCGTTTAAATATGCCACACAGAAAGTTAATAAATTTAGACAGGCTAAAATAGTTTGGCTTTCAACCATTTCTATCGACTCGCACATTAAGAAGGAATACTAGAAGATCAAACTTGGGATCTAAAAGACCCATAAGAGTAACTCATTAAAAAATCGATTATTGTTTATATTTTATATTGCAATTTGATTTTCTCGTTTTTATTGAATTCCGCGCTTGATCAAAGGTATCAAAGGTTTTGTTAATATGGTTTGCAGTACGTTTTTTAAATGCGTTTCATCTCTCTACACATATATAGGCTAATTGTTTGTGGGGATTGAATTCTCCAGATTGCGACTATATAACAAGTTGGTAGCAGCCCATTTAGTCGATTTATTAGTTTTAATTCTCATGTTGCACTTAAGTTTAGGGTTTCATTTTATCGATTAAAAAATAATATTGTTCTGCTGTGACGCTAATGACTCTGGCTAGTGACTGTAACAAAACATGCACACAATTCAATTACTAAACGCATAACTATTAATTCTTTGTTCATTTTATGTTGCTGCTGAGCTTACATTTTTAGCCTTAAACGTTCGGTTGTTTTGGAATACTTTCTTTCACTTGTTATCTGATTTAGTTTTAGTTTAGTTCTAGTTGGTTTGCCAAACTTTACGTTTCGGTTTACACGCATTTTAATACACAATTTTTATTTCTTTTTTTATATTTTATATATAAAAACAACTAAATATACTGCACGCATCATTCGATGCGCTTGAATGTTCTCCCCCTGCAAAGGATAACGGAATTAGCTATGCAGGAAAGTATTGCAAATAGAATTCACTCACGTTATAGTTTTCTTTTCCGTGTTTTTAGGCTCGGGCCTGGCACGGTTTAGCACCTTGAGGAAATCCGAGGTTTTTGCACGCATCCGAGAATGAATGTAAGCCTTTGAACACTGTTAAATACAAAGGGTTTTAATTTAGAAGATTAGTTTATATAGGTATTAAAAGAAAACCCACCTTAATGTGGTAGTGCAAATAATCTCGAAACATGTGTATTAGGTTGATGGTATTGTCCCTTGTTTCTTTGTTGGTGTGACGAGGAAAAAGCACTGCGTACGATATAAAAATTATAATATTACTCCGACTAAAAATCAATTCTGAAAAAAATAAACTCACCAAATGTAACATAGCCAATATTGTCACCAACTCTGGCATCCGAATTGGCCAATTCCAGCGGCGGTTCGCGGTGCGAGAAGAGCACTTGTGGCGCTGTGTGAGAGGCACGTCGCCCTTCCCTCAATTCCTGCATGAATACTTTGCCGATAATCACATCGTCCTCATCGCGGAAAATGGTGCTAAACACAACGGTGACACGATCGGGCTTGGACTCCACATATCTTTGAAATGCATGCATTTTTTTAGAGTTTCTTTTCGTCTCTTACTGACTCTCAACTTACAAAGTCTCATCGTTGCGATAGTTAATTACGGCCCGCTTCTGGCCCTCTTCACCCTGCTCCTGAAAGTCGAAATACTTCTCAAAGACCGAGGCAAAGCAGTTGCGCTTCAGCAGGCCAATCCTCTTGGCGATTTGCTCCCAGTCCTCTGGAATCTCCTCCAGGTTGATAAGTACAGAAACATTGTAGCCTGCACAGAAGAGTAATTAAGAGTAATTAACTTTTTGTTTAAAAGCTAAAACCTGAGCTGTGTGCAGACGCACCTTCTTCCGTGTCTGTGAGTAGACTGCCATATTCACGCTTCAGCAACTCGTCGGCTCCATGCTCTTGCAATTGCTTATAGAACTTAAGCGATATGCTGATCTAAAAATTGTATTTTTATGGTATTATTAATAATGCTTAAACGGTTTCTTGGAGGATTCTTACTTACCCGCACTTTTGTCTTATCGCCATTCACATTGGAAAGGTGATAGAGCACACCATCAAAGTCTGCTATTCGTATGTCAATCGACTCTGGCTTCAGTCTGTAAAGGAAAAGAGAGTTCCACAAATTAAACGGATGAGTTCGATTGCTTATTAGTCATTTGCCAACACCCAACACGTATACAACATTATATCTTATCGTCACAACTCGTTTATAAATGATTATCTTTACCAGAAAAAGCAACAAAGGTTCTGTCTTTTAATAACTGGGGCGTTTGTAAGCACCTTCGATTTTTAACTGTTTTATTTGATTTATTCAAACAGGGCATTCGATGCGTTTTAAAAAAAGTAAAATATTTTCGGGAGAAACTCACACACAATTTAGGGAATTGCATTCTAAAATATGCCATAAAATAGCTCCCAAAGTAAAAAAACAATTATATTGTACACAAACACAAGTCATCTGTTATAATATAATTAATTATTCAGGATGCCGTTCGTATTTCTGGTTTATATAGGAGAATTTGAGACACAAATTGAAGAAATATTCAAAAGTGTGCCACTTTTTCTCCACTTTTCCGACTATTATTTCGAAGAGGATTCTAACTAGATAAGTTTTGTAGTCGAACACAAGTCATCTGCTATAACATGAAGATTATTCAGGATGCCGTTCGCCTATAAGTTTTTTTTAGGAGTAATTGAGACACAAGTTCGAGGAATAAACAAAAATATGCCACTTTGACTCCATTCGACCAATTTCGAATATAGTTTCTTAAGCAAATGTACACAAACACAAGTCATCTGTGACAATATAATTAATTGTACAGGATGCCGTTTGGATCTCGGGGTTAATCTGGGAGCATTGTAGCCACGAAAAAGACTGACTTTAACATGTAAACTTTGTCTCCGGAGAAGCATATTAGGATGTCTTTAAAAACGTTTGTACACGAACACAAGTCATCTGATACAATATGATTGATTATTCAGGATGCCGTTCGTCTGAAAGGTACTTGTTTTAGGAGGATTTGAGACACAGTTTGGGGATCGTATCCCAAGAGTGCCACTTTGACTCCCAAGAAAGGGTCTAGTTTTCAGGTTTTGTGCACGGTAACAAATCATCTTGGTCAAATAAGATCGATAAAGGTGATCCATTCTGTACTATTAGTCTTGGAGCGTTGTAGACACGGGAAAGAGAGATGACTTTAGCATGTAAACTTTGTCTCCGGAACATAGTTTAAAGGTATTTAGGTCATTGTACACGAACACAAGTCATCTGATATGATATGATTGATCATTCAGGATGCCGTTCGTCTGGAAGGTACTTATTTTAGGAGCATTTGAGACACAGTTTGGGGATCGTATCCCAAGAGTGCCACTTTGACTCCCAAGAAAGGGTCTAGTTTTCAGGTTTTGTGCACGGTAACAAATCATCTTGGTCAAATAAGATCGATTAAGGTGATCCATTCTGTACTATTACTCTAGGAGCGTTGTAGACACGGGAAAGAGAGATGACTTTAGCATGTAAACTTTGTCTCCGGAACATAGTTTAAAGGTATTTAGGTCATTGTACACGAACACAAGTCATCTGATATAATATGATTGATTATTCAGGATGCCGTTCGTCTGGATGGTACTTGTTTTAGGAGCATTTGAGACACAGTTTGGGATCGTGTCCAAAGAGTGCCACTTTGACTCCCAAGAAAGGGTATAGTTTTCAGGTTTTGTGCACGGTAACAAATCATCTTGGTCAAATAAGATCGATTAAGGTGATCCATTCTGTACTATTACTCTAGGAGCGTTGTAGACACGGGAAAGAGAGATTACTTTAGCATGTAAACTTTGTCTCCGGAACCTTGTATTAAAATATATAGGTCATTGTACACGAACACAAGTCATCTGATATAATATGAGTGATCATTCAGGATGCCGTTCGTCTGATTTGTTATAGGAGCCTTTGAGACACAAGTGGAATCATTCCAAAGTATGCCACTTTTGCTCCCCCTAGGAGATTTCTCGTAAAAATAAATAATTTTCGTGGTCATAATCCTTATTTCCTAGACCTATTTTATGGCTACATCCCCTGGAGCTCAGGGGCAGTCTATGATTTACTTGACTTTCGCTCTCAAGGCGGGGTGAGTCAGTTGCATATGATGCACAAAAGATGTGATAAACAAGCTGTAATGAATTAACCTTATGTGGTACGTGAGTGGGAGGGAGAGGGAGCGCTAAATGATTGGATGAGTGTCCCAAGCTTCGAACAACACCCGAAATATCCCCAAGGGAGTGAGCGAGATGGAGCGATCCCGAAGCTGATAACGGAATCGAAACTGGTGATAACGGACGGGAATGCAGACGGGAAAGTAGATAAGGCAAAATGGTGGAGCGGCAATAGGGTCACATATTACGGCACTGCGAAAGTGGTGGCAATGGGGGAATTAACAGTAAAACTTACCCGGCCTGGGCATTGCGGTATTTGACCAGGAGCGTCTCCTCGATAATCCGATTATTGATTTCCAGCAGGATCATAATTGTTGTTTGACTTTATTTTCGCCAAAAGCGATGACAAATTTTTATGACGTTGGCGCTGCTTCTTCTGCCGCCGCTCCCTGAGCTCTTTCTGCGCCAACTGTTTCTTCTGCTGCTGCTGCCGCCGCTGGAACTGGCGGAGTGTGTAGGAGCGAGACGGGGCGCTGCTCCAACTCACCAACACTGGCGCATCACGCCCGTGTTTACGTGTGTGTGTGCAAGAGTGTGTGCGTCGTATTAATGAATCAACAACAAAAAATGGGCGCTGATGTCGGCTTTTTTGGTCCGTCTCACACACTCGCACTCACACTGGCGAATTCCAATGCTCACCCACACACACACGTCCGCAAACTCGCAGCACTGCGACAGTTTTGCAGAGAAACGGTTATTAGCCTGCTCCCTTGGTTAAAATTAGGCTTCGGGGTCCTGCTTTTGCTGGGCGCGCCGTAAAAAATAGGTCTCGGACCGTAATACTTATTAAATTATAACAAAACGTGGGTGAAAACGAAGCACGCTAGAGGTGGAAGTCGAAACGCTATCGATGGCGACGTGAATAATTTTCGGATATCGATATTATGCGCGTATCGATATGTTGCAGTCGATACTATTATGTGGTCATATGGTATTGTCGATAACATTTGTAGTCTTGAATACCATCTCTAGACCGTTACTTTGTGAAAGCTAAAATATGGTATAAAATATGGTTAGATGGCTGGGCGAGAAAACTTCCCACACAACAGAATCGCATAAGAGCTCAGCTCAAATTGATCTATATAAATACAATTTGTGTAATAGCATTGGATGTACTTTGTTCGATCTTTATATTTGAGATTCTTCCAAGTTATGTATTTCCAGCTATAAATTGATTGTATATAGCAATTGGCACAGGCAGCATCTGAGGCTAGTGGCATGAATATTTTTATTAGCACAACAAAAATAACATCTTGTAAATATTTATTTCAAGCTGCATATTTAAAGTTGAAAGACGCCAATCCATTGATGCTAGCCAGTAAGGTGTTAAATTAGCTGCAATTGAAAACACAAAACAAACAAATATTGAGAGAAAGATTTTGTACCTTTGAAAATTACAAATTATTTTAAGGTTTCCTATCAACTGAACTTAGTTCAGATTAACTTTACTTCTTTTTCCTGAACTTTTTCTTGTTTTGTTAATGTTGATTATCATTTAGTTATATTGCTGGGTAAGAAGTAAGTCGAGGTGAAGTGTATATAAAATTGTATGAATACATCAACTGTACATACCAAGGTTCTTCCCAATGCTTCTTGGCAGCAGTGTCAATAGGCCGCATATTCTCCTTTTCCCCAGTCTTGCCCATTACGCGCTTTCGCCAGTTAAGAATGGAAGCCCTCCATTGCGAGGGCTCGCGATTAACCTTCCCCAACTCGATGGCGTTCAGTTTTCCAGACACTTCCTGCCACAACGTGTGCGAGGCCTTGAGGTTCATCAAAAGCACGCGGAATTCCTTCTCGAAATCTATAATTGTTTTCTTATGCTCTTCTGTAAGAGAAGCTAATATGATATAATACATATTAGTATTTGAAAGGTCATTTTGTTAAGTATATTATGGAATTATTACATCGACGAGATGACTTTTTTGACGACGTCGACGTCCTCGCCTCTTCCACATTGAAGTCACGAGCTGGTCCATCTTTCCATGAAAATAAATATGGATATGCATGGACAGGTCAGTTTATAGAAAGGAATAATTACCATGCGGCTTAATGTTCATTCTTTTCACCATGATTCTAAATTTTTTAGTAGAATTTTCCATATTTTTTGCAAAATTTCAACTTGTTTTCAGGAAAAAAAAAATGTTATTGCCGGCGACGCGTTGTTTCGAATTGGTCATTGGATTGGAACAAGGAAAGTGAAACAAAAAATAAAATACAAAATACAAAATACAAAATAATAAAATACTATAATTAGCATTTTAAGATATAAACCATTTACGTAATTGTATAAATCACAGAACAGAAAAGGAAAGTGTTTTGCAAAAAGAATTTGTGAATAAATAAACAAGTTTGAAAAGACAATTATATTTAGCTGGAAGCATTAAACACAGCCTTTCAGGAATTTTTAACAGGGATATCATATGGCGTCTTGGCTTAGCAGGGAAACAAACCCTAGCAATGGGCAGAGCTTTTACATGTTCCTCGCCAAAATTAAAATAATGTTAATTAATATCAACAAATCGAAAAGTTAAATAAAATTGTTGGCTCAACAGGTACAACATTAGTTTGTTTTTCACTTGAAGTTTGTTTATTTAATCGTTTCACGGGTCTGAAATGTTAATGTTCAGTGCGCCATATTTTTCTAACATCTTACAACACTATTTAATATTTAAATATTTTTGGCGATCTTCACAATTTGTTGTTGCTTCATATAGCTTTTCTCAAAGGCCAGTTAAGCTTGTTTAAGGCCCGAAGTGTTGGCAACACTGTTGGCCACTTGAGAAATTAGTTGGCGCTGAGCTTTTGAGCGGACAACAGGTGGTCCCAGGTGATCGCGCTTCGCAACGAAAGTGATAAATTCCGAAATAAAAACAAAACCCAGAAACGCGCGCGGCTTGTTTGGTTTTTGTTTGTTGCTTTTCTTGAGCAATTTGCGGTGCTTTTCGGTGCTGCTGCAACCGCGAGTGTGAGAGAGACGAAGCAAAGTTCGAGTTGAGTTTTTGGTTTTTAATATGTGATGTTAATACACAAAATCGAGACAATTGAGAAAACGTGTTTACACTTCTAATTCGCTCAAAGAAATTCAAAGGAAATGGAAGCTGTCACCCGAGTGCTGATCTTAGTCACCGCCTGCTGGCTGGCCCCAGCCTCTGCTCAGGGGTTAGTATATCACACACACACACACGCACACACCTGACACTTTTGCCAGGTACTCCCACAGGTGACAGACATGGACATGACATCACTACCACTTTACCATTCCACTTGAAAATTAAGAAAAACAAATGACTTGGACAACGAACTTCGGGACAGATCAGTCTTGGCATGGGAGAAGAACTCTGGGAAGAGATAATGCCGCCGATCTGTAATTAACAACGTGTAATCAAGAAATTAGCCCTGGGCTTTATTACTGTCATAATAAGCTGGCAACACAAGAGCGAAGCGAAAAATAAAACAAGCTAAGAGTTGAGATGAGCTCGAAGCCAACGCGATTTTTGTTTTATTTTTCGGAGGCGCCTACGCATATACTCAGGCTTATTAGGGTGATGCAAGGTGCTGCCGGCAGAGCCAGAGGTTCCAAAAAGGAGATGCAAGCCATTGAAAAAACAGAAACAAGATTATATAATGATTATTGGATGTCAGATATTTATAGTTGCAAATATACAGTGCTTTATTTCGATTGAAATACATTTTTAGGAACTTTATAACGCTATTATTTATAAGGAAAAGTTTATGAAAGCTTACTTACATTTTTATTTATTTTGTTTATACTTTTTTTTACTACGAACAATGAGTTTAAAAAAACATTTATTTAAACACAGTTTATTGGCTGTAGAGTTCGTGACTTTTCTGTAAAAGAATATATGAATATATATTCACAAATTTTATTATATATATATATATTTGTATACACATAAAAAATAGTATAATTTCACTGAGAAGCATCGAACGCAGGGAAGTAGTCGCTTTCGACCATATAAATTATATATATTATTGATCAGCATCAAAAATCCAATCGATCTAGCTATGTCCGTCAAGAATTTAATTTTTTTTAATTTTGAAAAGTTTTTGCATCGTTAAAACTTTTAAAAATTTACAAAAAAAAATGCATTTTTTCTATTTTTAAATTAAGCATGCAGATTTATTAACCTGCTAAAAATTAACATACGAACGCTAACCGAATTGAAATTAATGCATTTTTGGCTTAGTTATGAGTTTTTTACTTTATGATTTGTCTTAAAATTTGCAAATAAAAATATAGCTAAAATCTATTAAAAAATGGTAATTTAATTTTATATTGAGTGTGCAGAATTATTAATCTAATAAAAACTAACATAGGAAAGCTTTCCGAATGAAAATTGATCTACTTTTGGCTAAGTTGTAATGGATTTTCTCTGCGGGGGTATACAAATTTCGGTTTCATGAAATTAGATTACTTTCTTGTTTTAATAATAAATTGCTTTAAGTTATGCCTTATATCTATACTTACTAAAATTGATTTAATTGTTTTTCTTTTAATTAGTTAAAGAAAAAGTAAAGACAAGCTAAAGTTTCTTAGGTTTCTTACTATTCAAGGCAGCTTCACAAAATTATAGAATTATCTAAAAGGAGTTATAAAATAAAATAAATAATTATTTACCTTACCATATTCCTCCCAAGAGTTTCCTAAAAAACAATATAAAATAATATAATCAAAAGTCCAGAAAAGCAAAAGTTATGTAGGTTCTCAAGCTTTATAATGCTGAATCTTCGCCCTCATTCCCAACAAAATCGCTTCAAAGAAATGTAAATATTTCGGCGACTTTCAAAATTGTTTTTCTACAAAAGAAGACTTAGACTTTGCAGAAGAATTGCTACAAAATAAACAATTGTCTCGCTCGAATCACCCTGATGCTGCTGGAGCGGAGGTGACACATAAACACGGATTGCCACTTGTGTACTCATTTCCGATGGCTCACGCTCACCTTGGGAGGCTGCTGACCGGTCGAAGTGATTACTTTGCGAATTTATACTCTAAGCCAAGAACCCTGATTGATTGACTCTGACACCTTCTGGGGCTTTCTTTCCTGCCTCCATCTGGTGCCCAGATCCAAGTGATCGTTGAGTGCGAGCTGCCATATATGGGGCAGTCATTCAAGGCTGGATTTTGCCAGCTCATGTAGGTGAATTCCGAGCATTGGGAAGTCGGATAGGAACGTCGATCAGCTATGACATCCACCTGGTTGCATTCGTTTAGCAAAAGGCAATCAGGTGAAACATCTCCGCAGCAAGTGGAAACTCGAAGCCGCAGACAAATCAAGCAAAAAAGCGAAATTGTTTAAACAGATTTTGCGAGGAAAACCTGTTTACATTTTTTGGGCTAACAAACGTGACATAAACACAAAAGAAAAAGAAAATTGTTGTTGTTTAGTTGTCGGTGGGAACAGGTTAGGCTGCCAAAAGGCTAAAAACCGATCGGAATTAGAACAGGCCGGGCACAAACTGTGAGTTACGCTGAAAGCTGGCACAGTTAGGAGACAGTCCATTAATTTTTCGCAATCATTGCTTTCCAAACTAAATTAAATTCAAAGACGGACAAAAAAAATTGTAATCCCAAAAACGTGAGCTAAGTGAGTGGAAAAGCCAAATAAAACTTGATTTGGGGAACTGGGACTTTTAAGGCAGGCTCTATAAAATACGTTTTTTGTTCGAAGGTTTTTAAGTATTTGGAAATCAAGGAATTTTGTTGCCTTTTTATACCTTTTTGGCAAAAATGTATTATTTTTTCTAAATACCTAGATAGATTCGCCTGTTGATGCTGATCCTTCACTGTTTATGAGGCTTCTGATTTAAATTATAATACCCTGCAAGATAATAATAATCTATCAGAAGTTGAATAATCGTGAATAATTTATTATTAAGTTAGGCTGTTAACTTTGAGTTTTAAATATCCTTAATACGAATTGCTGAATCACTTTAAATTAAAATTAAGTTATGGGGTACATGGCGAAAGGGAATTAATTGGGAAATAAATGCATAGATATCACAGCTGATTATAAACATAGGCCTGATGCCTCCTACAACATCTATTACCATAATATAATTGTCATAGTTAAGACTTACCACAGTAAAAGATACTCGTCATCATTGCTTCTAGTGTAGAGCAATATTTTTGTAGACTTTAATTACGCTTCTTCTTGGCTACCCAAATATATTACATTGATCAGGTAATATATTTGGGGTGGAAGGCTAATCGCTATCACTATCACTATCGATGTACACAGAGCGGAGGCCGCGGACAGAATGAGGTCAGCGCAAAGGGAAGTGGTCGTATTTATACTCTCCGAGTGAAGAGAAGAGCAGAGAAAGTGAGAGAGAGAGAGCGCGCAAGAGAAAGAGGCGGGCTGAGAGTGGTAGGGAGAAATAGGTATCTCTAGAGATGAGCAGAGAGGGACAGATAGAAAGAAACCTCAGAGATACACAGGGAGAGACTTAACGATCGGTTTTATTATATCTTTATGATATAGTCGTCCGATTTTAATAAAACTAAAACCGAAATTATAAAACAATACAAACTGCCCTTAGCTCAAATTAGATGACAAAATGTTGAAAACTAAAAAAGTGATAATTTCTTTTCCTACAAATTTTCAAATTGTTCCCATGGCAGCTATATGATATAGTCGCTCGATCCAAAGCCTCTTTGGAAACATCTGACTAAAATTATTAAACCTTTGGATGATTATAAAAATATAATCATATTCAAATGAGAAAAACGTCTTCTTTTGATTCACAGCTGCAATTGTTTGTTTAAAAAAAAAAAATACTGCATAAATACAGACAAAAGAAAACCACAAGAAAAACAAAAAACAATAATAGTTATAGCTCGAGCCAACTCTGGCGCAGTTCCTCTGACCCCGGAGTTCGTCTTCAAGCCACTTCCGACGGCGTTAGATGCTGACCCGCCAGAGTACATTACCCCTTTCTTTTCGGGTCGTCGTGGGGCATTGTCTTCCGTTTTGGGCGCGTGAATGAATAGCAAGGGGAAGAGATCCAAGTTTCCAGATAGCATAACAGCATAGGTGTAATCCCCACTTATCTACGGGCATTAAATCTCCGACTCACTATTTGTTTTTGCCTTTTGTGGCGGCACTTTTTATGGTTAA